CAACAATTGGGGCTGGTGGCCAATTGCCTCTCCCAATAATCCACCCCCTTGGCTTTAAATGTTCTTGGTTGAACTCACATTTACACTTGAGTGTGCCACTCTGTCAGCCACTCTGATTAATCTGACTGACAGAGGCTGGGACCAAATTTCTTCCATTTGTTTAACAGAGTGTGACGATTAATATTATATATCAAGTTGGCTAGCCCATATTTGGTCAAACATTATTCTAGATATTTCAGTAAAGATACTTTTTGGATGAGATAACATTTATATCAGTAGGCTTGGAATGAAACAGATTATCTTCCATAATGTGGGTGGACCTTGTGCAATCAGTTGAAGGCTTTAATAGAAACAAAACTGACTTCCTCTGAGCAAGAAATAATTCTGCCAGCAGACTGACTTTAGACTCTAATTGCAATATAACTCTTCCATGGGTCTTCAGCCTACTGGCCTACCCTATAGACTTTGGGCTTGTCAGTTTCCATGGTCATGTGACCCAATTACTTAAAAATCAAACTCTTAGATAGACAGACACACATAGACACTCTATTGATTATGGGTTCTGTTTCTCTAGAAGATCCTAATATATATAGCATTTGATTAAAGTTATCATCAGCAGGACCTTTATAAAATAATGACCATATTGTATTATAATTCACCTGTTCATCTCTCTTTCTTCTCCTCTCCCATGAAGGAGAGAAACATTTGAGTTGAAAGAGAGTGTGAAATGTTGGGTGCACAAACTTTAGTTTAGTAATCCCTGTCTTCCTCAAATGTAGTAGACACTCAATAAAGTTTTGTTGAATAAAAGTGGGACTGCATGTGTGAGTGCATGATTGGTGTTCTTCTGTAGCCCATAGTTGCTTTCCTCAATATCTCCATCCAGCAAAAAGCCCAGCTATCATTCAAGGTCTGTCTCACAGATCAAACTCCTTTTGGCACTTTTCTTTAACTCTTCTAAGTGAATGTTTTCTCTCCTGCTCTTAAACCTCATTAACATTTTATCTGTATCCCATTATGTATTTAGTAGGCATGCTGTTATCTATAAATACTTAGTCTTTTGCAAACTTGTCATATTTCCCTTTCTAAAATATAAGTTCTTTGAAAGTAGGAACTTGGTACACTGATCTTCTACCTCCTCTAGCAACCAATCCACTGTCAGTACCTAATAGACATTCAAATATTTTCTGCTGAAAATTCTGCTGAATGCTGAATTGGGTTGTCTCAAACCAGGATAGGGAATCACTGGTCTAAATGTGCTAATTACCCACAGCTGGTCTTAAAGGTGTTTCTGATTATTACTTAGCAGTTCAGCTTCCCTTTAGGAAACACGGCCTTTTTGCTAATGATTGCTTTAACTACCACACATCTCAGTAATGACTGGTTGCCTTTAAAATGAGCCAATAACTAGATGTTTATAGAGAGCATATATGTGAAAGACCTCTGAATAGATTCCATAAAAGGTTCAGAGACCCAGTAGCATGGGTGTTGAATTGTTCTAGAAGTCCTAGTTCATACACTTCATTATTATTTTCATCTTCTGAGCTACCATGAAGCAAGAGCCTGTTATATGCCCAGAAATAGATCATTTCATACCATGTTTTTTAATCCTTAAAACAAATGGGAAGACTATCTTTAATCTACTGTTGAGGAAACAAGGGTCCAAAGAGTTTTGGTAATTTACCAGGAGATCACTGACAGCCCCCCTAATTTTGATATTTTGTTCATCTCTAAGCCCTTTGGAATCTGTCTCAGCGGTGTGTCTCAAAGCTAAGCCATCTGCTGTCGTTGGTCTCTATCATTTGGCACCTCTTTAGCTCATCTGGACCATCACAGTAGCCTCCTCATGTTTCTCTTGCTTGTAGTTTCTCCCACTTCCATTATGTCTTCCACAGTATCAGTAGAATCATGGTCATGTCATCTCCCTTCTCCAAAAACCTTTGTTGAATCCTTATTGGCTACATACTGCCCTGAATTCCTAAGCATGACATTCAAAGCTTCCCATAATTTGGACTTGCCCTACTTTCCTCATCCTGTTTCTAACCAGGTACTCCCAAATGGCATGTCTTCTACTAGAATCACCCCTACTCATTATTACCATCAACATACCCAACACTTTGCTTCAAAGCCCATGTTCATTGCCACCTTCTCCAATGTCTCCAGTAAGAATCTCTTACTTTCATTCTCTTGTAGCACTTTGATTATATGTTACACTTGGTCTTCACTATACAATGCTGTCCATCATAGTTACAAATATACAGGTCAGTCTCTCCTTTTAGACAATGAGAAAACTGAAGGCAAGGAATATTATGACTTATTGTGCCTGGCACATAATAGGTACCTAAGGAAAGATTATTAAATTTGCTGAATTACATTGAAATGAGCTTGATTTGGGGTGAATAAGCAATTAGAAGCCATGCCCCATTGAGGCACAATTACAGCTCCTGCCTAAAGAGACACTGATTATAAATTCTTTAATCATTCTCTACACTGTAAATCACCAACCATTCAGGCAGCCGTGTATCAACTACAATAGGAACAGAATGGCATCTCAGATATATTTAGGGTTTTTCCAACTCTGAGAAGCATCTGGTTGTGGTGGTTCCATACCAACTCAAATAAGATTTGAGAGGGGATTTGAAGGGTGAAAGAGAGGTAGCTTGCCAAATGAAATGTCTTAAAAACACCGATTTAATGACTTACATATAAATTAATCATAAACATGTGGATTAAATTTCCCCAGAAAAGTCATGTTTTGGCTCTCTGTGGACCACAAATGATTGAAAAATGATTGGAGATATTTCCTGAGCCCAAAGACAAAAAAAGAACAAGTCTATACTTCTTTAACTGCAAATATTAGTGGGATAGATAAATTGTCCAGGGGGGTCTGGGGAAGTTAGAAATACGGACAGGAAATAAGAAAATGAGATTCAGCTTGAAATTATGCTCCAGGTACATCTGGGGCAATATAATCAGAAACAGAGAGATTTTTGTTTGAGTGAGAACCCAATAAAGTTATGAAGACTGTAAGACTTTCAGGGTGATTTCTAGTTGGCATGGCTCATGTGATATAAAGCAGGTCATTCTTATTCTTGAGGATGCAATAGTCCTTGACTATGGAATATGAGATATTACTCATTGCCCAGACAGCATAAACAAAACCTTTGCTTTTGGTTATATCAAGATTTACTGGTGGAAAAAAGGTTTGGCCCAAAGTCATTTTAGAATGACTTTTGCAGATAGTTCAAGGAAATAAATGACAAAGGTCAAGACTGTGGTCTTTGAGCAGAGTCCAGAGGTAAGATGGAGTCTGAGGTCCAAAGCAAAAGATATTGAAGCTCAAGTTCCTTCCCTAGGAAAGGACACAGTCTTTGAAGCCACAGGAGACCTTCCTAGAAGTGTTTTATTCTCCTTTGCCATTTTAACATACTTCTTGAAGAGCTCAGACATTTGAATAGACCAAACTAAAGTAGACATTATAGGCAACTTCTGACCTTGGCAGTTGGGCCATGCGGTGTTTTACAAATACACTGAAGTAAATACCAAATGCTCTAATACCAAGGAAATGCAAATAAGTTTCCTTTGAGTCTAGAAAAGAGAGTTGAAGAAAGTAATCTATTGCTTTCTAGGTGGCAGGATATCTTACAGAAGTCTCTGGATGTATAATGAAATGTGAGAAAAATGATAACAATTAATAATGATAACAGTCTTTTGCATTTGTACAATGCTTTGCTGTTCATATGCTGCTCCTTATAAATTGTCCTATAATCTTCTCAGTCACTACCAGGTAATATTACTATCTCACGTTTACAGATGAAGAAATAGAAGCACAGAAACGGCAAATAAATTTGCTAGCCAGAGGCAGTGTCAGGGACTCAAGTCTGGTTCTTCTGACTCTTAATGCAGTATTCTTCCTGTATCTAAATAACTTAATAGCTTATTGGTATAACTTTAAAGAAAAGATGACTATAGCTTGTTGAAAGTCTTTGTTGATTTGGTCCTTGATTTGATTGAGTAGATGGTCTAAGCACTTTATTAACTCATTTAATGCTCACAATAGGACTATGAGGTGACTTTATTATTACCCCCGTTTTGAAGATAGATAGAGTTGTAGAGGGATTAAGTGACTTGCCCACTGGTTAGTTAGTGGAGGAGCTGGAATTCAAATGCAGGCATTCGGGTTCCAGGACACTCTCTAACCACTGCCCTGAACTGATTTTAGAAACTTCTTTATCATAAATACCATGTCCCATGGTCAAGGAAAAGCTATATCAGAATGAAATTGGCATCTAATTCTGGGAATATCTAATCCTGAGGTACAGATTCCAATTAATTGCAAAGAGAATTCCAAAAGTGAAAAAAAAAAGTGGGGGAATGATATTTAAATTGTGTACTATTTAAATGATGTGACACCTGGAAGTATAATGAGAGCGTCCCATTAACAGCATGGTGGCTTCTTCCTTCTTATCAGGGAATGAAGAGAATGGAAAGTCATCTTTTTTGATTAGGAGAAAAGGGAAAGGATGTAGGGTTTGGTGTTGGGACATGCAGACCCTGGCCTTCCTCTCCTATTTTTCTACCATTGCTTTGTAGAGAAGTATTGACTAGGGCACTTGGACCCCACAGCTGACCTCCTAATTCAGTTCATCTCTTTGTTTAAATCAACCAACTTAATGAAGACAAGGGAAAATGGTGAGCATCTGGGTAGTTGAGTCACAACTGCCAGAACTCCTTCTCTTGACAGGCCAACTAAATTCTGCAGTCATTCTATAAGGGGTTTGAGTCAAAGATGAGGATTTCAAGGGAATGAAAAGAACCATTCCAATCAAAACTGAGGATGAAAGAGAAGTCATGTGAAACAGTGATGTGCACCAGTGTGGAATGAGTGTGGTGCAAAGGGAAAACACTTCAACGGAGAGCAGTGCAAGGGACTGTGAATCAGATGATATGAGCATGGGGGGGAAGTTCTGGGAGAGTAGGAGAAAGAATAGCAGACTCACAGGTGATGTGAGGTTGTCTTCTGATGTCTGAGAGGCAGTCACATTAAGAGAGTGTAGATTCTCCAATAAAGCCTAGATTTCTGGTAAGGCACAGAGCTGCACCCCTGGCTGAAAACCAAAAAGAAAAGAATTTCAACTCCTGCTAAAAGTGAGCCAGGATTTGAAGCCCAAACCTGACCCCAGATCACTTGTCTTAACCACTATGCTATTTTAACTGGAGGGCTTGAATGTATACTCTAAAACGCAGATAGTTTAAAAAAAAAAAATTTATTTCACTAACCAATTCCCCTGTTTTGGAGTAACAGAACATGTAACCATGTTTGGGAGTAACAGAACAACAACAGAAATCAACTTGCTGGTTAAAGTTAGCTCAGTCTTCTTTTCTTGTTAATTTCACAGACTTTTCAGAGTTTTGATCTCATTCTCCTTCTTTTCTTCCTCCTATGGGTACAATGGGGTGCTGACATTATATGCTAGTAATGAGGAGGGGCTGCATGGGTCCTGTGCTGTCATTGGGTTACTCAGTGACCTTCACTCAGTCGTCACCCCTTAATTACTCAACACACTCCTGGTATTTACTGAGGTGTAGTGGCCACTGCCAGGTCTTCTTGGCTTCATATCGGCAGCAACTGTTGAGCATTGGCATTACCATTGCTCCATGCTAAGCTTCCCATACTCTGGGATGTACTATCACCAAGATTATTCCAGAACACCAGTCCCCTCAGCAGTTCTGTGCGGTGTTACAGAACCCTTGGAAATTCATGGATCTCCTATAGCCAAGTGGAGGCCATGGCAGATAGGTGACATTGACTCAGGCTCTCCCTTTGCAGAATCACACCAAGCCACCATTTCTGTGTCAGGGTAACTGCCATCTGTATTGGTATGTGAGGTTCCCCCCACCCCGGAGTTCCATATGGAAGTGGAACACATGTATGCTCTTCTTTTAGTCCCCCCTTCTTCCCGGCCTGAGAACTAGATGGATGAACTGGGTCTCTTTTCTGTGATCCAGGCAACTTCCTAACCCTGGTCTCATTCCCTCAGAACCTTCTCTGTCATATCCTCAATCTTCTCTACAGTAAGGCCTCTAGTGGAACTTTATGTTCACCTCGCTGAGCTTTGCTAGATAAGAAAAGTTTTAAGAATTTGAAGGAGTGGAGTGAGCTACTTAACAAAATCTGTTTTCCAAGACTGCCTCACTAATGTTTTTTAGGCTATTGAAACTCAAAACTGAGCGCTGACCCTTCTAGTCTAAGTGGTTTCTGACTTTCTAAAGAAGCTTGAATGTTCTTGATTCAATATAAAAGGAGCTGAAGGGCAACAAAATTTACAGAGAATGAAAGCTAAAATTGGTTACAGAGAATAAAACTAAATTGGTTATTTCGTGTATTCTTCTGTTTCAGTGAAATATTTTATAATAAAAAAATTTAAATACATTGGTTTAAGATTTTAAAATAATCATTCTCGTTATACTCTACTGCCTTCTGTAGTGAAGAAAATCAACCAGAGCCTGTTAGCATTAGGCTTTATTCAAAAACACCAGGCAAGAAAAGGTTCTGAAGGAGTGTTCTAACTTGGGGGAAGCAGGACAGAAGATTTTAATAGGGCTTTTAGCAGAAGAGGTTAGCTGAAGTTCAACTGGTTTCGGGAATAGCTGGATCAAGACAGTTCTCAGAAGAGGGAGGAATTGTACATGTGAGTTAGCAGCCATTGTTTGGGCAATTTGATTTTCTTAAGAGTAGAGAAGAACAGCTGTGGGAGACAAGGACATGCTAAGGCCATAGTGGAAAATTCTCTGGCCTTAAATGTCTCTTAATTTACAAAGTGGAAAAATATACCTGGTACTCTATTTAGCATGTGAAAGGCTGTTCTCTGAGCAACTATTCTAATGATGTGGCCATAACCCATCTTGAGGATTCTGTTTCTCAATAACCAAATTTGCAAATTTGTTCTGAAATAATTATATGGTTCAAGAGACTTTGAACATAGCAGGTTTTTAATCCATGTCAGCTTGGCTGGCTTGAGAAGAGGCTCTGCCTTTGAAGAACTCACCAAGCAACAAGTGAGACAGATACAAAACAAATTATCCTATGAGTATGTTCAGAGTTTTGAAATTTCAAGGAAGAAAGTGGCATATCTGCAGAGGGAATGACATTTGGTTTATACCTGGAAGGATGATAATGATGATAAAAATAACATTAATATAAGCTGTGGTTCACAGAGCCCTATCATGTGCTAGTCACTCTCTATATAAAGTATTTCAAATCTTCAGTCTCCTACCATCTTCATCCTTCAGGTACTAGAACAAAAGTACCGTAGACTAGCTAGCTTATAAACAACATACATTAATTTCTCACACTTCTGGAGGCTAAAAGACCCAGTTTAAGGTACTAGCAGATTTGGTATCAGATTTGGTGAGACCTACTTCATGGTTCATAGATGGCTGCCTTTTCTTTGTGTCTTCCCATAGAGGAAGGTGTGAGGGATCTCTCTGAGGTCTCTTTTCAAAGGGCACTAATCCCATTCAGAAGGGCTCCACGCTTATGACCAAATCATCTCCCGAAGGCCCACCTCCAAATACTATCCCCTTTGGGGATGAGGATTCAACACATGAATTTTGAGGAGGGATGGAAACATTCAGTCTATAACATCCACTGAGATAGATCTTTTCTTAAGAAGGAATAGAAAGTGCAGCTTACAGAGATCAAATGACTTGTCCAAAGCCAAACTTATAAATAGCACAGCTCTGATTGGAGCCCAACATAGTCTGGCTCCAAAGCCTACCGCTGTTCTGTACCAGTATATTCCAAAGTGTAGGGCAGGCAGCAGGTAAGGGAGAGGAATCTAGGTGTTCTGGAAGATAATTAGGAAAAAAACATGGTATAACATTACATAACACTGAATCACGCAGTGGGGGAATTATTCTCATGTCACTGTTCTGTTAAAGTCTAAGAGAAAATTTCAGTTTGATGGAATATGTCCACACCCTTCTTAAATCTTGCTGATCTCCTATTTTACAAAGAGCCTCAGGCTCAGTGCTTTTGGTAGTTTTCTAGCTAGAATTTAATAATGTATTTTTTCATAGTACTTATTTTTATGGTTACTTCCTCACTCTAGAAAATGATGCTTTTTTAAAAATTTACATAGTTTGATATAAAGTTTCCAATGTATATAATTATTTAAGTTAAAAAGGAAGTAGTCTTTTTTAAGTACTGGGAACATACTGGTAGAGATGGATGATGAATATGTGACAGTGGCCTGCCCAAATGACATTGGGACTCCAGAACCACACCTTACTGACAAGGATTACACTAGACATGTGTGACCATGAGACAGAGCTGCTGGTGGTGAAGGGAAAGGAACACTCCAAAGAGAGCACATGACTCCTAAGATGAGAAGCATATCCAAATATGATGCATTTGGAAACAAGGACCAGTGTGAGCAGCTAAGGTGTGCATGATGGATATTGAGGCATGGAGCTGGCAATGTTATTATACACAAATCCTCTACCTCACGATTCCATAACAGAGATGTGACTGATAATAAACAGCATCCATTGCCTTTTTTGTTATCTATGGTGAACTCTCTTCTTTTGAAGAAAGCTGCCATAAAGTTAATTAAAAATTAGAAAAGCTTTTTCTATGTAAGTAGGTAAGAAATGAGGATTAAGGGAATCAAAATATGCCACCCCAAAGTATGCCACTTGTTTGAGGCTGAAGGCAGTTAAGAGGCAGTAAACCACAGAAAGAATTGTCCGCCTCCCACATTGACCTAAAAGCAGGACATAAATTTCTCTTTTTGAAGGATTCCCCTCCCCGCTTCCATACCAGGAGGATGAAAAACTATGATCATCACTGGAGACAGAAAGTCAGCACCAAGACAGGTTGGCACAAACAAACCTTACTAAAATAACCCTTACCTTCTATTAGATATAATAGTTTCCCCTACAGATTTACCTCCCCACCGTTTACCACTCCTAGAAGCCCAATATCCTTTTCCTTAGTCTTGCCACTTCACAAATCTATCACCCTTTGTTAAAATGGCAAGTAACCTCTGAATCTCACTGCTTCTTTGGGTCTTTTCTTCTTTTCTATGAATATCTCTATGCATGTAAAAATCAAAATATTAACAGCAAATAAAATTTTTATGGTAATCTGTCTCTTATCAGCCTAATTTCACAGACCTCAGAAACAGAACCTAAGAGGATAGAGGGAAAGTTTTTTTCTTCTTCTACAGAGGTCTTTTAAGCAAATGAGCCTCATCACAAGTTTCTCAGAAGCAAAGTGAGAAAAGAATGAGGCTGTTTTTAGTTTGAAAAATACACCCCTATATTGAGATGTGCCTGTCTCCTTTGAGAAATGTATTTTTAGGATTGCCTGGGTGGCTCAGTTGGTTAAGTGTCTGCCTTCAGCTCAAGTCATGATCTCAGGATCCTGGGATGGATCCCCAGGTCTGGCTCTCAGCTCGGTGGGGAGTCTGCATCTCCCTCTTCCTCTGCCCCTCCCCCATCCCCACACCCACTCTCTCAAATAAATAAATAAAATCTTATTTTAAAAAAAGAAAGAAATGTATTTTTTGGAAAATTTCTAACTTTTTCCAATCCTTTATCTCCAGTTATTTCAAGTAAAATAATAGTAAGAAAAATAGGTGAGAACTTATATATGAAATTATACTCATTCCCAAGTCTGTAAATTAAATCATTTCTGTGAAAGACCAAAAAAAAAAAAAAAAGTTGTGGTGACAGTCAAACATTCTTCTGCAGAAAGCAAAGCCCAAAAAGAGATTCTTATGTTCCTGGGAACACACTGCTCTCTTTTACTTTTGATTTGTACAGAAAAGAGGGAGAATCTTTGAGACTGGGAAGGTAGGAAAGAGAATTGAGGCCCTCAAACATCTTGGGTTAATAATGATACCACTACATGCTATGTCACTGAGCTGGCCTTAGGGTGAAGGGAGAGGAAGAGAAAGAAAGCCAAAGGCAAAGGTATGTCCTTTTCCCAGGATGGAGGCTGCCTCTGCCTCCTTATTTAATCATTAACAAATTGTCACTTACCAAAAATGTA